GTCAATAGGTCATCAATATAGGGCAGGTCTGCAGCTCCAAACAATGCTGAAGGCCATTAGTGTTCTAAGAGACTACTGGGCTCTAGACTAGTCTAAGACAGGAGGGACATAAAAGTTACTGGGTCAACTATGACCCTCCTCCAAGTTCATCCACCAGCACAGGAGTTAGAGCCATTCAGAGGTAGATAGTCAATATGAGGAAATTCAAATGCCTGCTCCTTGAACACTGTAGGCCAGTAATCAATTTCCCATCTCCACAGCCCTTTCAACAATATACGATATACAACATTACAATATCGTAATATTACAATACACAATATACAATAATACAACCGCCCAGTATCACCACTGCATGAAATGAAAATATAAAAATATTGGCTCTTTCTGACCTATTCTTGTAGACAGACACTGTTCAAAAGAAACATTATGTGAGCCACATACATAATTTTAACTTTTCTAGTAACCTCATTTGGGAGCTCTGGTAGCATAGTGGCTAAAGCACTTGACTGCTAACCAGAAGGCTGGCGGTTCAAACCCACCAGCCACTCCTCGGAAGGAAGGTTGGGCAATCCTACTTCCGTAGTGATACTGCCTCGGAAACCCAAGGAGGGGTCGCTATGAGTCGGGGCCGACTCGACGGCACATAACAACAACAACAACAAGTAACCTCATTTAAAAAGGAAAAAGAAGCAGTGAAATTAATTTTTGTATGTTTTATTTAATTTCATACATCCAAAATATTTTCATATTAAACATGTAATCTATATAAAAAATTATTGAACTATCTTGCCTTTTTTTAATACTAAATCTTTGGAATATGGTTCATATTTTATAAGTGGTTAGTGGCCCTCAATTACAGATTAGGAATCAACAAACAGTGGCCCACATGAGCTGAGACTGCTATTTACAGTTTTCAATGATTGAAAATAAGTTAAATATATATATATATATTTTTTAATTATATGAAATTCAAATTTGATTGTCCATAAGTAAACTTCCATTAGATCATAGTCACTCACTCATTTACATATTATCTATGTCTGCTTTCTTGCTACAATGTCAGAGTTAAATAGTTATGACAGAGAGAGATGGCCCACAAAGCCTAAAACATTTACTGTCTGTCCCTTTATAGAAAAAAAGCCTTACTGATAATCCCTGTTCTAGATGGGGCTGAGGCTTAGATCCAATAAAGTCATATGAAATCCGTGGGGCCTGAGCCACAAAGATGTAAGCAAACTATTTCTATACTTTCCAGAATGTCTAGTGCCTGAATGAAATGCAATCTCAAAAAGCAGCACAAATCAAATGAAAGAACTCATCATCTATCACTTCAAAATAGCTTTTTAAGTTATAAACTAATACTGAGATTCCATGCATTCACCCCTGTCTATATATCCTCTCTATTCATCAACAAAATATTTGTTTCATGCTGTTTTTATCTGTTTCCAACTATAAAATTACAGTATAGCAGATGTGAAAAAAGAGGATGTACTTGCATTAAACAGACTGTCTTTACCAGTGATGACCAACTGAAAATGTGAAGAAAAAAAAAATGATGATGTTCAGTTTGAAAAAAGAAAAGACAAATAGTTTAGCTTAACTTGTGAAAAAGGTCTGCCTTGAGCATCATGTTCTTTTAGAAGCTATCCATATGGGATCAAATTGACAATAGCAACTCATAATATTAGACAGGAACCTTAGGAGACAGTGATCTTATGTTAATGAGGGAGGAACAACTCAGCAAAGAATATAATCAATGTCACTAAATTGTATATGTACAAACTGATGAATTGGTGTATGTTTTACTGTGTATATTCTCAACAAAAACAACAAAATTTAGAGAAAAAAAAAATAAGGGCAGTATATACATTGCATAGCAACCAAATCTCCTGACTAAAGTGGCAGAGACAATGATGCCCAGATCAAAGGTGGCAACTGACCACATCACTCGCTCACCACAGTCATGACAATAATCCAGTCTCTGGCATCAGGCTCCTGAAAAGGCTCACCATGCCTCTTGCAAGTCTTCCATTCCAGGGCTTTGACCTATAATTTTTCCCATTCTGGTTCTTGTCCCAGTAATTCCAGATTTTACAAATTCAAGTCTGTTCCAAATTTGCTACATCGGCTATGACTGAACTGGTTTGAACCAGTTCAAAACCCTGTATAAAAGACTATATCAAGAAAAAAAGATCCAGTTGCCATCAATTCAATTCTGAGACATGGAGATCCCATGTGTGTCAGAGAAGAACTATGCTTCATAAGGTTTTCAATGAAAGGAAAAAAAAAAAAAAACATAGTACAGACTTCTAAATATGTTATGATCACAACAACATAGAATAACAGAAAAATTGTACCTAAAAGACTGATGTAATGGGATTTTGGGTAATTTTTTTATGCTTTTCTTTATAACGAGCTTTTATAACTTTCACAAAGAAAAAAGATACATTTAGACCTATAAGGAATACCAGAATTTTTCCTCTATTGAGAATTTTACTTTAAACAACATCTCTCTGCTAATTTCCCTTATTTATTGAAAATTTTCTCTTTCAAAATAAATTGAAGAATTCTTACCATATTCTGAAACCTGAAATGACTGATAATAGGTCTGGTCCTATTATAAGAAAGGAAGAAAATAAATGAGTTTTAATGTAATTACTTCGCTTGTTTACTTACCTGCATAATAAGATTTGGAAAATTATTTTTAAATTACAATATAGTTTTAAAAACAAAACAATCTATTTTAATTTGTGAAAAATTATTTTCAGTAAACCACAGAGTGAAGCCTGTGAAATTTTATGAGTTTTTCTTATCAACTTACTAACGTACAAAAGGTGATTCTCTGCAGGTCATTAAACAAATGACTTAATTTTAATTCCATCACTTGCAAAATGAAGGCTAGATTAAGTTAGATAACTTCATCTCCCTTCCCACTCTAGGAATTAATGAGGCAAGGAAAATACACATCAAACTAACAAGAGATGACTTCAGATTTGCTTTAGTTATCAATAACAAAAAAGCAAATGGACAAAATCAAGTTATACTTAATTCTAATATCTGTAAACAAACAAAACATACAAAACCATCATGGACCAACATCCTCCACCTTCTTAATTCCTTTGATTATTTTCTAGTGTAACCCCTTAAATCAATACATCCTACTCTATATTAACTGATATTGTTGATTATTTCTTTTTCCAAGGTCAATAAGATGTGACCTATTAGCATATCTTTTTTTCTAACTTCACATTCCTGTATGTTTATTCTAAATCATAGGTACCAATTAAATAGAATCTCCTCAAAATAACTAAATCATTCCACTAACAAAATTTTTATTCCAAATCTAGCTGATTCCCTAAATTCATCAAAACAAATAGAAATGTACCTACAAAATACTAACATTTCTTAGAAATCACCCTGGCTAATCTAAAGCAACTATACATCAAGAAGTTATATGTATAATCACAAAAGTATGATCAAGTTCATTTCAGAATATAAAACAAACAAGCAAATGTATCAAAGTTTATCAGTGGTCACCAGGAATGAATGGGAAAGAGGGGAAGAGGAAGACACAGTACTTATCTCTTAAGGATAATGGAAAATTTGAGAACAGTTAATAGTGATGGTTGAACAACACCATGAACATATTTAATATCACTGAACTATACATGTAAAGTTTGTTGAAATGGCAAATGTTTTGTTACATATATAGATGTGTGTGTATACACACACACACACACATCTACATATGTAACATTTGCCATTTCAAATGTTACGTGTGTGTGTGTATATATCTATATATGTAATGTCTATTATATATATATATATATATATATATATATATGTATATATATATATAGGAGCTCTGGTAGCATAGTGCCTAAGGCACTTGACTGCTAACCAGAAGGCTGGAGGTTCAAACCCACCAGCCACTCCTTGGAAAGAAGATGGGGCAATCTACTTCCGTAGTGATACTCCCTCAGAAACCCAAGGAGGGGTCGCTATGAGTCAGGTCTGACTTGACAGCACATAACAACAACAACATTATATATATACACACACACACACACACATACACACAAGTGTAACTACTTAAGTGCTAATAAAATAATTTTCTACAACTTGACTTCAATGATGTTATTTATGTTATATCCCAAAGAAATTGTATTGATTTAATCTAATTCTTTAGAATCTCCAAAATTAGACTGCTTAAATTATTTTCATGTCAATATATAGGAACATTATAAATTACATGTATTTGATTCATTTATAAATTCTAATTTGTCATCCTCAAAAATCCAATATACTTGTATTACTGTATTACAGGTAGACAAAAGAATGCTCACAACGTGGATGAGCTTAGAGGACATTATACTGAGTGAAATAAGTCAATCACAGAAGGACAAATATTGTATGAGTCCATTACTGTAAAATGTCAAGGAAAGGTTTACACAAGGAAGGAAATTTCCTTTGTTGGTTACCAGGGATGGGAGGGGAGGGGAGGGGAAGGAAACTAGATGGATAATTAAGAGATAGGTTTGATATGAGGGAAGAAATTTTTAAAAAACAGTAATATTTTAAAAATTAATAAGATTATCCATTAGTTGATAGTTTTTGAAGCTAGATTATAGGCACATGGGGGTTCATTTACTAGTCTTTGTTTCTGCTTAAAATACTTTAAAATACATTTTTGAAATTTGAAAAAAAATAAGAACACTTCTGTTTAGATGCCTTTCTGCTTTATTACTGAAGATAGCATAGGCGTGGCTATAGAATAAGTAATTTGACAATGATGATGTCGCTGCTTTATCAATTAAATTCATACAGCAAATATTAATTGAGTGAGTACTACATGCAAAACAACATATGACATTCTATAAAGATATATAAACTACATCCTCAATCTAAAAATGCCAGACTATTGGTGGAGACAGTCACAGCCAAGAACAATAATATAAGGTACAGTGACCCAGGGTTTCTTACACTGTGCCTTGGCTCCTAATCTTTCATCTGTATGCATGTTCCCAGGCTCAATTCCAATGTTACTGCTTCCCTGAGCTCCTGATCTAAAGTCAGTCACTCTGCCCTGTGAACCACCAGAGCACTTTAATCCTTTCCTGTCACTGTGTATCTTGCATATTATATTTAGGTACATGGTTTGTCTATCTGCTAGTTCATTGAGAACTAGATCCATGTCAGATAATCTCTTTATTCCTCACAGTTCATCACTCATAATGTCAATCTAACATAGTACCTGGGACAAAATAAGTGTTCAATAATTACGTGTTAGATTAAATAAAGATTACTAGCATTGACAAATGTAGGCTGTCAACTCACTTATTTGGGCCTACTCTAAACAACAGCCTAAAGCAAACTTTTAGGCAATTATTTATTTAATATCTAAGTGGTTAGACTAGATTAGACTTGACATGCACTGTTTCTCCTCCTGCCTCCTATACTGACAGTCTCCCTCATCCTAGATTTTCCCATCTCTCCACTTATTGTCCTTCTGCCTATTCAAGCTATAAACATTGTCAAGTCTTTTGTTCTCTTGGTACTCCTAAAAATCTTTCTGACTCTTCCCTGTTTCATTTATGGTCCTCCTTTTCTGATCTTTAAATGCTGGCCCTTGTCATTCTGAGCCCATTGCTCTTCCCACTCTCAGGTACTCATTGATTCTCATGGTTTTAACCACAAACTCTATACTGAACACTCCTAAATCTTTATCCCTAGCCCAGATTTCAGCCTAGGAATTCAAACTCAAGCCGCCTGCTGGAAATCTTTATGTGACTGTCCTACAGACACCTCAAACTCTCACACCAACACTAATTCATTATCATCTCTTACATATAATCCTCTTCTTAAATTCTCCATATCAGTTGGTGACAAAGATATTAGAAACCTAGCAATAAATTTGACTTTTTCTTTCCTCATTGCCAGCAATTTATCCCTCACTGTTTCTTTTATTCTATCCCCTTTTCACCATCCCTTCTATCATAGCTTTATTTATGTATTGCTTTAGTTCAGACTTTCATCCTCTCTCGGGACATCATAATAGTCTCCTAACTAGTCCCCCAGCCTTCTATACTTTTATCTTTAAATATGTCCTTCGTATAGCACTAGAGAAAGTACAAATCTTAGCAAAGGACTCCCTGTTTAAAATCTTACTATCCACTCCATGAGATAGTTAATCTCATGGAACTCTCTCCCTACTATAAACAGCAAGAAAAGCAGGTAAAATATATAAAACAACAAATTTCAAATGGGAAAAGGGCAGCATACTATAACAATCTCTGAGAAGTACAACCTATGAGGTTATCTCTATAGTTGCCCCAGTTTACTGTCTAGAAGCATTGCACAGCACAGAGAGGAAAGGCCAACACTGAGCCTCGATGCCCTGTTGAGTTAAGGGACAGAGACTGGAGCTCAGAGACACTGAAGCAGCTAGACTTCCCAGGAAAGAATACCAAAGAGGAGGAAACTACCTAGATAGAGAGCTTCAGAGATTAGCCGAAGAATCCTCGGCTAAGTACCTATCTGAACATGCATGGGAGGAAACTAACCTGTGGCCAGGAAAAGAACTCATGGAAGAAAGCAGGCCAAATAATTCCCAAAGATCACACATGATAGAATAGTTTGTGTTCCCAGCTGTGTATAATTCAATTATTTTACTTAATACAATATGTTATAATAGTCTGCTTTGTGTGTATCTCCTGTTAGAATCTATGAAATCCTAGGGTCACAGCAGCTAGTTCATTGTTCCTTCAATGTTTGTTGAATGAATAAATGGGTTCCTCTCTCCAAACTAGTTCTTACAGTGCTTGTGAGAGTAGCCTCAGGGATCATAACGCATCTCCTGCATGACATTAAAACAACCTTCTGGAGAGGGATCAGACTACCTAAAGAGGCACAGGCATCTGACAAGTGACCTACAGAGTAACCTTAACTCTCTGCCCTTTATTTGGAAGGAATGTAAATGCTAAAAGGAGTAGAAGAAGCCAGTCACAAAGGAAAATTGAAGAAAAGGAAGAAGGAAGCACTTCTTTTCACTATCATTTTAAATTGTTCCAAAGATATCAAGAAATTGTTTTATAACTGAATGATGACATGTACTTCATACCAGACAATGTCTTCCCAGGGTGTTTATAAGTAGTGAAATGCAAATCAAGAAATAAATCATTTCACCGTCCAAGGAGTTTGAAAAGCAGAAATGGAGTTCCGGCAAGATGGCGGACTAGGCACAAGGACTGCACAGATGCTCTTCAACAAAGAAAAGGGAAACCAATTAACACAGACACAGAAGATAATCTTGGACCCCTGAG